TGCACCACCAATGTTATCAACAAACACATCCACAGCTGCACCACCAATGTTATCAACAAACACATCCACAGCTGCTCCACCAACGTTGGCAACAAACACATCCACAGCTGCACCACCAAAGTGGGCAACCAACACAACATCAAAAACACAACCGACGCGGTCAACTCACCATAGCTCCCCCGACTTCATGAGGGTACCATCTTCGTGTCAAGGCCGATGCGGGATACTCCAGGAGTTTCCGTGCTCCTGTGACGTCACGTGCCACGTGCTTCACTTCTGCTGTGATGACGTGGACACCGTGTGCCCGGAAGTGCTCACCACCAGCAGACGTCTCTATGGTAACGTCTTTGACCGCCAGGTTGTGTGTAGTGTAACAGATGGCTTTACCTTTGGTTATTTGTTTATTACCACCTGTTCAACGGGGAGCCACAGCGAGACAGCCAACGACGGCGCCAAACAAAATTTCAAAACCAAAGTTGACCATAACCTAAACCTTGACTACTTCCGAAATAGTGTTCCTGTAACAGACATGACCACAGGTTTAAATTACATCAATTTCTCCGTATTTCAATGCAACGCTCAAAGTAAATCATTTCCTCTCAAATGGGACTTATTTTTCCAAAGTAAACATTTCATACAGTCTTTAAAGAACGCCAGCGATTTGTCGGATAACATGGACAGATCCTACTCGCCTTATTATCTTCCACCTGAAGAGCTAAACAACAAGGTGATGGCCAGATGTGCCCCATTAGCTATTGCTAAATGTAGCCCTAGTCTAGCCACCCATGACAACCAGCTCAAGTGCATCCAAAACATTTCTTTTGTAATCGATGCAGATAACACATTTTATAAAAACAGACACTGTGCTATTTGCAATGGTCTGAACGAAACGGAATTACTCTTTCCCAAAAGGATAAACGATCAAGCCGCACGGCACATAAATCAGCTGTCCGTCTTAGTTTCGTTCAATGAAGTTGGCATAAAATTAAAGTCTTATCCTCGACGCTTCTCGGGTAAGTCAATGCCATGGCTGACTGCTGCCTGTCATGCACCAGAAGTAACCTTCGACCTGGTGACATTGGACAGTTTGAGCTGTGATGTGGACAAGTGCTCACCATTCTTTTACAAAAGCCCTGACGGCAACTGTGTGATGACCAACGTTCTGCAACTGGCTGTCACGGATGACGGATTCCCCCTGTCCCCTCAAGAACAGTTCCGGTTACCAGGGTTCGTCGCGTGCTATTTGAAGCGCCTCAAGTGGGACGTATCACATTCTGAAAACTCTACAGAAATTCTGTTTGATGCTCGCCTGAACATCACGCTTTATTCTACAAAAACAGTTGTCAATGAAAATCTACAGTTCCTAGATCCCTCAGAATTTTTATTAATTGAAAAGCCGAATCTTTTTTCGATAGCAAAATCTTTCTTTTTATATCGAAGGCTCCGAATTTTGAACTCTCAAGAGTTCACACAAAAGGTCACACAAGACGAGACGCTAGAAAACAGATCGACAAACGCGAACGTGTCTAAAAGATTTCATTCAAACCATCTTACTCAAAGTTTCTTCCCAGAGGAGTCGCCGTCGTGTGGAGACAGCAGACCTGTCGCCCTCTGCTACTGCACCTTCAGACCGACTTTGCAGGAGACTTCTTGCAGTTTTGGCTGTCTTCATGTCTGCCTGAACATCAGTGACAATGAGCTGGAGCCCAACCTGTGTTGGGACGTTCTCAGTCAAGGTCATTTTAACTGGCCATCAGGAGTTGTCACTACCGTTTTAATTAGCGTTAATTGGGTGTTATTAATCGCTGATTAAAATATGAATTTTATGTTTTTTAATTTAAACTTTCAGCAAAGAAAGTATCACTTAGATATTCGCATTAATAGCAGAACTGACCAAATAAATGTATTTAGAGTTTTTTTGGTTACGGGATGGAGAATAGTAGACATCGGCTGATGTTAAAATGCATTGTGTTGTGAGAATTAAATGCACCAATCACGTCTGTTTTGTTTTGTTGAACGAAGACATTGGTTGAATGATCAACAGAGGATGCAGTGGTTTAAGAGTTATGGTTTTTAAAAAAGTAAGGAGATAGAAAAAACATATAGAGGAAAAGATAGAGAAAGGAAAAAGGAGGAATTAAAATAGAAAAAAACAGAGAAACATAACGCAACTACCCTCACCCCCACATGGTCTCGTGAGCTGTGGTTCAAGCTAAATGTTTACAATCGTAGATCCGGGTTTAATCACGCCTATTAGGGGCAGATAATTTTGTTTGAAACTATTTTAAACTTAGGGGAGGTAACTAAGTGGAGGCTGCTTTCATGGGGGGGGGGGGGTGTGGAGGGTTTTAGTGTTTTAAAGCAAATATTTTCAGTGACAGCATTGGTACTGTCGAATTCACAAATTACGAATTACTGAAAAGTAGAAAATAAAACTAAATAACTGATACTCCGCGGGTCGGCTCGTTCAATTTATTTTATGTCTTTTGGGTAAATCCTACATTGCTGTCCTTTCTTTTTCTTATACATTTTTATTTTAACAATTAAAAAAATACTTTTAAAAATATACACCCATTCAGATAGATATAAACTAACCAATGCATGCAAAATAAAGTGTCTTTAGCTGGAAAAGCATAAACAGAAGCATCGCAACCCCCAGCTCATCTTTGCAAACGAACAGGCAAGTTATAAATACATAAGGTGATTCGCCCGTTCAGGGAAAAATACAATGGGTGCTGGGATGATCATGGTTTTTTATTGTCACCCGCCAGCCCCACAGCGGTGATTACCAATGATTTACAATCAAAGGATAATTAAAACCACCTGCATCATCATACTAAGAAAATTTGTCTGTAAAGTATTGGGGTCAATATTACACGTCCATTAAAATAAGACTTTTGAAAAGTATTTTTATATCTCATTTAAACCTAGATAATTGACACTATTGTTTAGAATTAAATTGTTACTGAAAGGACACATCCACTTCTCTGTACACAGAAAAAAAAACAATTGACTTTAGAGCAGAACTATCAGTAAGTAGCTTATACGATCACTTCACTAGTTTTCAGAATCCATTAATGGTATTTTTGTGTATTGTAGATCCATTTAGCATGTGTAGGCTATATCTGATAAAGTTGGTTAGTTAAATGTAATTTAATAATTGTGTTTCTTAACGCGTAGGTCAATTAAAACGTTAATTGTAATGCAGTGACGAACGTTTTTTTTTTAATTTAGGAGAAGCTCACTATAAATAAACAATGTCTGACATGAAGCGATGACGGCTGAGTTCGCGCTGTAGAGTGTGGGCATGTGTGTCCAGCTTAGTAGCTTAACTACAGTTGACTTTTATGGGGGGAAAAATCATATATTTGCGTTTGCAATTTTACAAAAAAAAAGCTTATGGCTTGGACATTGAATATATATTTTACTTGTAAAAGCAAAAAAATTGAAAGGATAATGATTTTATCATTGTAGATATGAAAGCAATTGGGGGCCCCTAAAATTTGGGGACACCAATGTTTCGTTATATAGCTACTGCCAGTAATACAAGATCTACATTTGTTGATTAAAATAACCGTTTAAAATCAATTTTTCAAAAAACTTGTTGCTGCCGTAGCATAACGCCTCGAGATGTTTCTTAGTTTTGTTTCGATAACCACAATTAACATGTTTTCTTCATTTTAACTTTCGATAAATAGACAACGTATAGGCCCATCACGTTCCTTTACTTAACCCCCCCCCCCCCATGAGGCTCAACGTCACAAAACTCAGATCTCTAACATAACGTGATGAATGGAGTTCCTTTTGTCGGGTTGACAGCTACAATGATTAACCTACTAGTGAAAGGTGTTGTTGGTGAATACTGTATCTTTATGCCTCACTATCTTTACTTGACTTAATTGTCACTTAGCTAACGAATGCATACATTTGACGACCAAGTCAAGCAACAGACGACAGATGTTGATCCACTCTGGGTAGACCATCTGTCAGATAACACATGACAGACGACAGCTTTTGGTCCACTCTAGATGGACCGTCTGTCAGATACCACATGACGTCATCGACTACAACTGAGTTACAAACGTTTGGATTGTAATTGCTCAACCCACCATTTGCCCGAGGCGTTAGGGTAAGTTTTAGCTTCACTTTAACTTACAAAAATAATGGATTCAGTTGGAATAGTTCGTTTAACCATAATTACCAAGCCATTTAACACAGATATGTCTGCGTAATAATAATAAACCGGGAGTGATCTCCCCTAAACTTTCTCGAATATTCTTATATAACTCGGAATATAGACATGATTTTTAATTACTTACACTTTTAAAAATTGAATAGAATCTCGAAGAAAAAAGAATTGCACACCAAGCGAACGCCAAAACAAAAAATGTGCATAATAGTGCGCAATATTATTAGTACTTTTTGAATTTACATGCGTTTTTTGAGAAATCGGAAATAGCGTAAATTAGTACTTCCCATCAACGGAAATTACTCAAAACTTAACAGAAGGTAGAGAATTAGATCTTTTACTTACACGTGAAATTTCATTTATCTATCTGAAATAGTACTCAAGTTATAGGCTTTTTAAAAATTCAAAGTAGAAAAAGTACCACTTCCGGTTATCGAAAATCGCTCAAAAGTTGATACTGATCAACGATTTTGATAAAATACTTATATATGAAATTTCATCAACCTAGCTGTAACGGTACTCAAGTTATCGAGTTTACACACAGACAGACAGACACACAGACAGACAGACAGACAGACAGACACACAGACATACGGACAAGATTGCAAAATTATGTTTTTCCGTATCAGTGAGGTTTAAAACGTCGAGATTTGTAAAAATCTCGATTTTTTTTTGCACGATTACAAGACTTTCTCTATACTTCGTATAATCGAGAAAGTAAAAAGGAATAGATCTATAGTATGCATTTGCACTCTCTTTTTCATTTAGGCAAATAAAAAAATATATAATAAAACCAGTGACAATTTCTTTAGCTACAGGTGACGCAACAAAAATATCACAATGAATCGAGTGATGCTGATGGTAACCATATTTCTTGTCATCAATGCTGTGTGCTTGGAGAGTGTCACTGGAAAGGGAAGTTCTCACTCAGGTAGGTTTGTATGTCTTTACGTTTACGTCTAGATTGCCCCCTCCCCCCTCAAATATGTACAAGGCATGGGGTAAAGAGGAATTCTCCAGGACAACGGTTAAATGGAGACGCGAAGAGTTTTAAAAAGCTGGACAACCCAATAGTAGAATTATAAGGGACTGTCATATCTGAGACTACCAACTCGACCACGCCACAACTGGACTACGACAAACAAAACAAGGAGGGGATGGCACTTTGAAATAATATAAGTAAAACAGAAAATGATGACTATTATTGGTTCTTAGAATTATAACAAAATTTACAAAAATTAATTGCCATATACAAATGCCATAGATAGTAATTTGATAATCGTAATTTCAAATGCCAAGATTTACGTGTCCTTTTATTTCTCTATAGGTGGCCGCCATCATGGTCGTTCAGCCGGTAGGTACTGAAAATATGGTCCAAGTTAAAGTAGGCTGGTTGGTAGAATATTTGGTACTGAAAATTATGGTCCAAATCTTAGTTAAAGTAGGCTGGTTGGTAAATTGTTTGGTAATGAAAATTATGGTCTAAGTAGACTGATGGGTAGAATATGTGGTGGTGAAAAATGTGGTCACAACTGAGTTACAAGATTTACCACAAATCCACAAACAGACGTTGTAACTAAGTAACATATTATAAAATTTTGAACATTTTGTGTGATTTAATTTATTCCAATCGTTGTCTGGCGCGGTTTGTGTTTTAATTATTTTATTTTTCAGAAGAGTCTTTACCAGTTCGAGCTTCCGTCGAAGAAATTGAAAGAACCAAGCAGTCTACTCGCTCAAACTTTAACAGGAAATAAAAGAGCCGAAGAATGTACACGTTCAAACTTAAACAGGAACTAAGAGATAAATAAAATGGGATAGTTAAAAAATCAGCAAATGTTCTTGTTTTGTGTCTAAAGCTAAGAATATTTTGTCAAGTGAGACTTACACATCCACTTTTCACGTAGGATCAACTGTGATATAGAGAAAAATTAAGTTAAGCAAAAAGTAATATTATGTCCCAATAGAAAGCAATAGTTGCGATTCATTATTTTTCACAGCAAAGTGAAGTCCTTAAACGTGTGCAACATTTCAATACTCATCCGATATCAGCTAGAATGTTTTAGTTCGTAGGTTGTTAATCAAATATTCCTGAACAAGAAATGATTTTCAGATCCTTTTGTTTTCCTAGACTTGTTGGGAATTTGTTGTTATTGCTTTTTTGTAAACAAATATTTCTTAAACCTGTGCACGCAACTGCACCGAAAAGCACTCGAACAAAGAAAATTGCGCTAAGGAAAGAATTCTTCCTAAGTAGAGTTCAAAATCTGCCTGCTCGCAGTATTTTTATTATGTTAGAGAGAATAAGTGAAGAGAGTCTATTCTAGCGCTTTGTCAATTTCCTCCTGTTCAAATAGATCTAGAGATTTGCAGTTAATTATTAAGATCCGTAATTAACGCACCTAATCAGGCTATACATGGTGAAAAAATCGCCCACTCGCCACGAAGGTAGATTTTAAAATTAAAAAAAAAACATTTCGATGTGTCTACACACTAGATTTATTATTAATTAAATCTAATTACAAGATTTTAATTATTACCACGTGATGCTGCCCCAGGAACGGCCTTAGCTATAGTCCAAATCTTAGTCTAACTAAAACTAATTATGACCCCAACAGTAGCCCTAATATAACCCTGAATATAGCCCTGACTACAGCCCTTACGCAATTACTAAAGTGTAAAAAAATGTTTAAAATATATTTTATAACAAAACTAAAGTCTTTAGATGATTTATGCTGAATCATAAGATTGTTATAATTTGGTTGTAGAATACGAGAAATAACTGTCTCTAACAGAACGCGGTAATTTTAAAAGTTTTAAAATGAGGTTAGAAAATGTATCAACAATTAACAATAGGGCTGGTAAGTAGGTCACCAACCAGTTCTATGGCTCATGCAGGTTTTATTGAGCCGTAGAACTGGTTGGTGACCTACTTACCAGCCCTATTGTTGTGAGCGATAGCGTATTTTAAAAGACTAGCCGCCCAGCTTTGTGAATATTACAGAAAAAAATGTGTGTTCGCTCCTTAATGTTCACTTACCGTGTAACGCAGGACGGTGGGTTATTTCTTAACCGGTAACACTGTTCGAGTTATGATTAGGATAAATATTAGGGTTCAGTAAAGGCATTATTTTTAGTTATGCTTAGGATGAAAATGTGGGTTAAGTAAAATATAGTGTTTGTGGGTCTATATTTTTTTATATGGAGTCGCCAAGAGAGCATCACTAGGTTGGATATAACTCATCCAAATACACATACATAATATTTTTTTTTCAACGTAGTGTCAGGCCCACGAATTTTGTCTCCTGGTACGGTCGCTGACCCCCTCCAGGTCACGCCACTGGCCGCCAGCAATCATAAACATAAGAACTGTTCTTTACAGGACGAGTAGTACAACCTTACTTTCAATTTTAGGTTGGGTTTTGTTCAGTTTTTCGGTTTGATCTTTAATAAGTGGGAAAATGAGTCGCGATAAAGTTGATCAATAATTCATAATCACCGATTTATTTTGTTAACCGCCCCCCCCCCCTTTCGCATAGAACCAACCTAAAACACATCAAACACAATATACATCAATATATTTGATCATAATTTGTTGCTTATATTATAACAACTATTAAAGTCCCGATACTTTAGTCACAGCCATCCCACCACTGGACATGAATGTATTACAAAAGTTTAGACGCATCATTCTCGATATCATACTTTTGTTGGTTAGCCTAACCTGACTCTCTACTCTACAGTTTTCCTCCAACTTGTGTTCGTGTTTTCTATTGGCCAGGGAAATGTCAAAGGTAAATTCCAACTTTTAACCGTACAAAAAATTATGTAGCTTTCAGACAAGGAAGATGATACAATAAATTGTAGATCTAGGTCTATGTTAAATAGGGCACAACAGTGGGGTCTCGCGTCAAATCTGGACAGGCGTTATGCGGATAATTCCTTCAAAGGAGCGTAATTATCTAATATAACATTCTTTATTTCATAACAAATAATATCACACCATCACACAATAACAACTGATAGCACATCATCTCACAACACTAACAAATGATAGCGCACCATCTCACAATCATAACAAATGATAGCACACCATCACACAACAATAAAAACTGATAGCACACCATCTCACAACAATAACAAATGATAGCACACCATCTCACAATCATAACAAATAATAGCACATCATCTCACAATCATAACACATAATAGCACACCATGGCACAACCACAACAAATAATAGCACACCATGGCACAACCACAACAAATAATAGCACACCATCTCATTACAAAAACAACTGATAGAATACCATCTTACAGCTAAATCAACAGAAGGTTTGACGTTTGTGGTCGCCGCACCATCACTAACCAACATCAGCCATCCTCATGAGGCCCGCATCATCTTCTATTTGTCAACCACCTACAGCAGCTGCAATGTGAGTTGTTGTGTTCATGTGTTTACAATTTGTCGTTGTGACTGACGCACAAATAGTAACGAGTCTTATATTTGTGACTGACGCACAGAATTAACGCGTCTTATCTTTGTGACTGACGCACATAATGTAATAGGTAGGCCTACACCCAACCACACCCTATATTTGTATCACCAGGTCTACCCAACCACACCCTTTATTTATATCACTAGTTACACCTAACCAAACTTTATATTTTTATAACCAGGCATACCTAATCACACATTATATTTATGTCATCAATTCCACATAACCCCACCTTATATGTATATCATGAAGCCCACATAACTACACATTATATTTATATCACCAGGCACACATAACAACACCTTATATTTATATCATGAAGCCCACCTAACCACACCTTATATTTATATTATCAAGTCCACACATCCACACCTTATATCATCAGGTCCACATAACCCACACATTATATCATCAGGTTCACATAACCACATATTATATTTATATCACCAGGCACACCTAACCACACCTTATATTTATATTATCAAGCCCACAAACCCACACCTTATATCATCAGGTCCACATAACCACACCTTATATCATCAGGTCCACATAACCCACACCTTATATCATCAGGTCCACATAACCACACCTTATATCATCAGGTCCACATAACTACATATTATATCATCAGGTCCACATAACCACACCTTATATCATCAGGTCCACATAACCACACCTTATATCATCAGGTCCACAAACCACACATTATATCATCAGGTTCACATAACCCACACATTATATCATCAGGTCCACATAACCACACCTTATATCATCATGTCCACAAACCACACCTTATATCATCAGGTCCACATAACCACACATTATATCATCAGGTCCACATAACCACACATTATATCATCATGTCCACAAACCACACCTTATATCATCAGGTCCACAAACCACACATTATATCATCAGGTCCACATAACCACACATTATATCATCATGTCCACAAACCACACCTTATATCATCAGGTCCACAAACCACACATTATATCATCAGGTCCACATAACCACACCTTATTTTTATATCATCATGTCCACAAACCCACACCTTATATCATCATGTCCACAAACCACACCTTATATCATCAGGTCCACAAACCACACATTATATCATCAGGTCCACATAACCCACACATTATATCATCATGTCCACAAACCACACCTTATATCATCAGGTCCACAAACCACACATTATATCATCAGGTCCACATAACCACACCTTATATCATCAGGTCCACATAACCACACATTATATCATCAGGTCCACATAACCACACCTTATATCATCAGGTCCACATAACCACATCTTATATCATCAGGTCCACATAACCACACCTTATATCATCAGGTCCACATAACCACACCTTATATCATCAGGTCCACATAACCACACCTTATATCATCAGGTCCACATAACCACACCTTATATCATCAGGTCCACATAACCACATCTTATATCATCAGGTCCACATAACCACACCTTATATCATCAGGTCCACATAACCACATCTTATATCATCAGGTCCACATAACCACACCTTATATCATCAGGTCCACATAACCACACCTTATATCATCAGGTCCACATAACCACACCTTATATCATCAGGTCCACATAACCCACACCTTATATCATCAGGTCCACATAACCACACCTTATTTCAACGGCTCCAGTCTCAATGACCAAGTCTTGATGAAAGCAAATAAAGTAAAAATATACGAGCTAAATACGATGTACTTGTGAGTTGCGCTTTTATTCATATAACTTCTGTTTTTAAAAATATGTTTAGCCTAAACATTTTGTGTTGAAGACTTGGTATTGTAATATTGAATTGATTTTTGCAGTATACTAATTGCTGGTTAAAATTTAATAAAATGGTTTAGCTCTAGATCTGTTAAATGTTTAGCTCTAGACCTGTTTAAATGTTTAGCTCTAGACCTGTTTAAATGTTTAGCTCTAGACCTGTTTAAATATTTAGCTCTAGACCTGTTGAAATGTCTTAGCTCTAGACGCGATTAAACGTTTAAATGTTTAGCTCCAGACCTTCTTAAATATTTAGCTCCAAACTTATATATTTAGCTCTAGGCCTGTTTACATGTTTAACTCTATATTTATATATTCAGCTCTAGAACCTGTTTAAATGTTTAGCTCTAGACTTACATATTTAGCTCAACAGTTTAAATGTTTAGCTCTAGACTAATATATTACTCTAGACTTTAAATATTTAGCTCTAGATTTTAACTGTTTAGCTCTAACCTGACGGTTGGCTTGAGGTGGAGCTACATGCTACGAGCTGTTCGCAGATTCAGCCTGACAGTGTTGCTACAGGCAGGCCAGGAGTCTGGTGCCACCTTCACTGCAGTGCCGGTAGAAAGCTGGGGGAAAACATACGTGCTTGCCACGCTTGAGTGAGTTCATGTTTGTTAATGTGCTAGCCACGCTTGAGTGAGTTCATGTTTGTATACGTGCTAGCCATAAGTGAGTTCATATTTCTATTAGTGCTAGTCATAAGTGAGTTCATATTTCTATACGTGCTAGCCACGCTTGAGTGAGTTCATGTTGGTATACATGCTAGCCACGCTTGAGTGAGTTCATGTTTGTATACGTGCTAGCCACACTTGAGTGAGTTCATGTGTTTTACGTGCTAGCCACGCTTGGGTGAGTTCATGTTTGTATACGTGCTAGCCACGCTTGAGTGAGTTCATGTATGTTAATGTGCTAGCCACGCTTGAGTGAGTTCATGTTTGTTAATGTGCTAGCCACGCTTGAGTGAGTTCATGTTTGTTAATGTGCTAGCCACGCTTGGGTGAGTTCATGTTTGTATACGTGCTAGCCATAAGTGAGTTCATATTTCTATTAGTGCTAGTCATAAGTGAGTTCATATTTCTATACGTGCTAGCCACGCTTGAGTGAGTTCATGTTGGTATACATGCTAGCCACGCTTGAGTGAGTTCATGTTTGTATACGTGCTAGCCACACTTGAGTGAGTTCATGTGTTTTACGTGCTAGCCACGCTTGGGTGAGTTCATGTTTGTATACGTGCTAGCCACGCTTGAGTGAGTTCATGTTTCTATTAGTGCTAGTCATAAGTGAGTTCATATTTCTATACGTGCTAGCCACGCTTGAGTGAGTTCATGTTTGTATACATGCTAGCCACGCTTGAGTAAGTTCATGCGTGTATACGCGCGAGCCACGCTTGAGTGAGTTCATGTTTGTATACGTGCTAGCCACGCTTGAGTGATTGGATGTTTGTATACGTGCTAACCGCAATTGAGTGAGTTCATGTTTGTATATGGGCTAGCCACGCTTGAGTGAGTTCATGTTTGTATATGTGCTAGCAACGCTTGAGTGAGTTCATGTTTGTATATGTGCTAGCAACGCTTGAGTGAGTTCATGTTTGTATATGTGCTAGCCACGCTTGAGTGAGCTCATATATACGTGCTATATTTAACTGAGCCAAATTAATGTAATTATTTCGTCTTAACTATATGTTTAGAATATATATATATATATATATATATATATATATATATATATATATATATATATATATATATATATATATATATATATATATATATATATATATATATATGTTTAATTGTCCTTCACTATAATTTTTTTCCTAATAATATTATTTTAATACCAAATTTACTACTTTCTATTCTTGCTAGCAAATCTCCATTTTTTCTTATAATGGCAAGTGCCTTCACATACGTCAATATCAACTTTAAAGTCAGTCCCCCAGCTCTATTCTCCATTGACTATATGGCACAGTATGGTAACGGGACAACCCTGACAGTCGAGCTTAAAGCGTAAGTCAGTTCTCTTCTGTTTCTCTATAATCATGAAAACGGCACCTAGCAGATACAAAACTTTTCTAAATTAATTCCACTACCAGATATAAAAGGTTTCTGAATGTATTTCTACTACCAGATATAAATGGTTTATAAATGTATTTCTACCACCAGATATAAATGGTTTATGAATGTATTTCTATTATCAGATATAAATGGTTTATGAATGTATTTCTACTACCAGATATAAATGGTTTATGAATGTATTTCTACTACCAGATATAAATGGTTTATAAATGTATTTCTACCACCAGATATAAATGGTTTATGAATGTATTTCTATTATCAGATATAAATGGTTTATGAATGTATTTCTACTACCAGATATAAATGGTTTATGAATGTATTTCTACCACCAGATATAAATGGTTTATGAATGTATTTCTATTATCAGATATAAATGGTTTATGAATGTATTTCTACTACCAGATATAAATGGTTTATGAATGTATTTCTACCACCAGATACAAATGGTTTATGAATGTATTTCTACCACCAGATACAAATGGTTTATGAATGTATTTCTACTACCAGATATAAATAATTTCTGAATGTATTTCTACTACCAGATATAAATAATTTCTGAATGTTTTTCTACTACCAGATATAAATGGTTTATGAATGTATTTCTACTACCAGATATAAATGATTTATGAATGTATTTCTACTACCAGATATAAATGGTTTATGAATGTATTTCTACTACCAGATATAAATAATTTCTGAATGTATTTCTACTACCAGATATAAATGGTTTATGAATGTTTTTCTACTACCAGATATAAATGGTTTATGAATGTATTTCTACTACCAGATATAAATAATTTCTGAATGTATTTCTACTACCAGATATAAATAATTTCTGAATGTTTTTCTACTACCAGATATAAATGGTTTATGAATGTATTTCTACTACCAGATATAAATGATTTATGAATGTATTTCTACTACCAGATATAAATGGTTTATGAATGTATTTCTACTACCAGATATAAATAATTTCTGAATGTATTTCTACTACCAGATATAAATGATTTATGAATGTATTTCTACTACCAGATATAAATGGTTTATGAATGTATTTCTACTACCAGATATAAATAATTTCTGAATGTATTTCTACTACCAGATATAAATAATTTCTGAATGTTTTTCTACTACCAGATATAAATGGTTTATGAATGTATTTCTACTACCAGATATAAATGATTTATGAATGTATTTCTACTACCAGATATAAATGGTTTATGAATGTATTTCTACTACCAGATATAAATAATTTCTGAATGTTTTTCTACTACCAGATATAAATGGTTTATGAATGTATTTCTACTACCAGATATAAATGGTTTATGAATGTATTTCTACTACCAGATATAAATGGTTTATGAATGTATTTCTACTACCAGATATAAATGGTTTATGAATGTATTTCTACTACCAGATATAAATGATTTATGAATGTATTTCTACTACCAGATATAAATGATTTATGAATGTATTTCTACTACCAGATATAAATGGTTTATGAATGTTTTCCTACAACAGATTTATGGCTTTCGTTGTCCAAAGCTGCGACAAGCCTTTTGTCGAGGGTTCTCTTACAGGTATTCGGATTGACAAAAAACAGCGTAATTTTATTAGTGTTTTTTTTTAGCGCAATTTCCATTCTGGAGAATTGCGTTTATTAACCCGTCATTTCTGGGTGTATGAATGAATGAATGAATGGATTGATGGATGGATGTGTGTCCGCAGCTTTAAGTCGTATCTCCTCCTCAACGAAGCAATATCGAGGACTAGTTCTAAAGCAATTATGTTAAGCAAGTTACGAGGATGAAAATAGGCTAAAAAAATTCCGGGTTTCTTTCATTGATTTCCCGGAAAAGCCAAAAAACCTCGAAAAAATGCAGTTTTTGGCCCATATCTCGGCAACCAGACCACTTAGCGACTTGAAACATGTACCAATCGATTCCTGCCATAACTTAGAACAATATTGCCGAAGAAAGTTTTCAAAAATATCCTTTCGTTCGGTCACAAAAAAATTTTGAATTAATGAAAATTTGGACCGAATTAGTAGGCATGTTTATCCAACCACACCACACGCGTCATCACGTTCAATAGCTGCGCCATCACGTTCAATGGCTGCGCCATCACGTTCGGTAGCTAGGCGCGCAATGGTTTTTAGTCATGTAACTCTATTGTAAATAAAACATGTAAAATACTGAAAAAAAATTAATAAAAAACGTTTTAATATCTAACCAATGGTTTTACTAACCCTGCTCTTGATTTACGCTACGATCAGAGCTATTTTTAGACAACATAAGGAAATTGCGCTAAAATTGTCACTAGACTTTTTAATTACCTTGTTTTTAAATTATGATCCTCTCTATGTTCCACGATTATAAATATGTCTATATTCTATGTTTAACCAAACTTTAACACTGCCAAGTGCTGCGTTAACTTTACTACAGTGCTTCTTCCAGGCATCTCTTCGGGGTGGGGGTGGGGGCTCCAAAGTCTAACCTCCCCCCTCCCCCCGAACGAAATGAAAATTTATATAGAAAACATAATTTTACCAGTGTCCGTCTCTCCCCCCCCCCCCCCCCCGAGAAAAAAGTCTGGAAGAAATGCTGATTTACTGTAAAGACTAGTTGGCTGTTTTCGTATGCCTAATACATTAGCAGTTGGAAAAGTAGATATACGGTTATTCTGTCACAACTGACGTCACTGCTATATGTGCCATTGTAACTGTAAAACTCGTGATTTAATGACGTCATCTGTTTCATTATCGCGAACACACCTGTCCTATTTTGACGTCATCTCTTTAGGTTCTACTGTGACGAGCGTCCATCCTATTGGTGTCATCAGCGGCAACTGTCACGGTCAGGTGAACACAGGTACCTGTGCCAGCCCAGGTGTTGCACCAGGTGCGACAGACCTTGTGGCAGGTAGGTCATTCAATGACAGCCAGACGTTTACCTGTGGCAGCCCAGGTGTGGAGGCTACAGGTGCCATGTGGCAGGTAGGTCATTCAATGACAGCCAGACATTTACCTGTGCCTGCCCAGATGAGGCTCCAGGTGCTACAGATTTTGTGGCAGGTAGGTCATTCAATGACAGCTTGACCAAAACGAGAGGCGTGGTCGAGCAGTAGATTGCAAGCTCGCTTACCCGAAAGTCACGAGTTTATAACCCGCAGGCCCCGACCTAACTGCCCCTCCTGTCCACGCCAGGTTGTGTGGTGAACTGGGGATAAAGCAAAAACCTAGCATAAACCCACCTGTCTTGCTATGGTAACATGGGTCAGATGAACTCGAATCTTAATTAACCCTGTTCCAGCCTGTCTTACTAATGAGCAAAAGCTTGAGCCATTAATCAGCATTATTGACGAAGGGAGACCTGTGTCAGCCCAATTGTTGAGGCCTTCTCCTACTGATACTGTGTTAAAATCATTACATGAAGGCTTCAACCTAATGTTTATTTCCTTCAACACTGTTGCAGTGTGTAAGGGGGAGGGGGGGGGTGTCCCTTTAAAAAATATTCTTTGAATTATTTTGAAATAGCCTGTTATGAATCTGCATATTTAGAAATGCTGTTGCCTGCATTCTCATTTGGGAAGGAATTCGTCGTTATGCCTGTAAGGGACGGCAGAGAAACGGTTAGGGTCTGGGTTGTCAGCGTCGAGTCCCGCACAACGCTCACCATCCTACACCCTGGCAATACGCCGCTAGTTGAGGAACACTTGCTGGACGTAGCGGGGGAATACGTGTTTGTAAGTTGGTAGATCAGTTGACAGCAGTGGCGTAGCGAGGGGGGGGGGGCGTGCGGACCGCACCGGGTGACACCATTTAGGGGGGTGATACCAAGGCAAAAAATAGCAAAATATATAGAGAAAAATGATAATTCCACTTAATTAAGTGATTAATTCGAGTGTTAAATAGTCTTTTAAGAGGTGCAAATCGAAAATTTTAAGTGGGGGGGGGGGGGGTGCAAATCAAAACTTTGAGGGGGGGTGCAAATAGAAAATTGAAAGTTTGTCCCCGGGAAGGGTCGCTACGCCTCTGGGGGGTGACACCATTAAGTGCCGCACCGAGTGACACCCGACCTCGCTACGCCACTGGTTGACAGAAAATGGAAAACTACGACATTAACAACATTTTAATGCGTTAACAAAACATGTCTTAAAACTTTTAACGCAGGGGGGGGGGGTGGCATGGTTATGGTAGACACACTTAAATGCAAGGCATATTACAAATGGGTTACACGATATAACCACAAACAATCCCACGGACACACATGAGGATTTAAATCTTCTAAGAGCGACAAGACAGACTACCAGATCATCAGACGTATAGACAGACACAAAGTCACATGGGTCCTAAATTTTACATCCCATAGTGTAAATCCGATGTTGTGTACATTGTGTAACTGGGATATTGTTTACATTGTGTAACTCGTATATTTCGTACATTGTTTACATCGTGTAACTGGGATATTGTGTGCATTGTTTGACTCGGATGTTGTGTAGATTGTTTAACTCAGAAATTGTATACATTGTGTAACTCTTCAGCTTGAGGTTAGCGGGCACTGTTTCATGACGAGCAATAATCCGGTGCAGGTGCTGACAGTACTCACGTCTGCCTGCTTGAACACGTCATCATTTGCACCTGGAGACACTGCCGTCTCCCTACTCTTACCCACCATTTTGTTCTCCAACAATTACATATTCAGGTATAGTATACCAACAATTACATATTCAGGTATAGTATACCAACAATTACATATTCAGGTATAGTATACCAACAATTACATATTCAGGTATAGTATACCAACAATTACATATTCAGGTAAAGTATAGCAATTGCTTGTTTATGCTTACTTAGATTATAGCTACACATAATTTGAGTTATAATAACTTAGGCTAGATATTTAGGGAGCCTATAGTATTTTAAAAATTGTTCTTTACGCTTTTATAAAGAGTTTTGACTTCAAAACCTATCTGCTTGTATTATAAAACTCATAATATTTAGTAAATCTTCTTTATTTGGAAGCCTTTTACAAACTTTCTCATCGTTTTAAATTTTGAAAAGCTTAGTCATTTAAAACATATGACTGTAATAACGAAACAAATAAAATATTTGAGAAAGATATATGCTAGGTATAATTGCATGTTTACTTCTTCTATGAGAATACATGTAACCTACCATAATATTCGTAATATCAATGATCACGCCTATAAGATTCAAAATGACTGTAAAAATTGTCAGAACTACAAATACAATGTAAACTTCAATGGGTCTATTAGACCCTACTATGTATAATCGCACATAAGCCTAGAACATAAAACTCTACATAGATCTGCCTATTGTGTTATTCCCTATAATGTACAATTCCAGCACGCCACGCACCAGAGAAGTGACGCCCCGCCATTTCATTAGCCTGGTGGCCACGGAGATGGTCTTCGCTCATATTTGTATGGACGAGCAGGCGTTACCGGACAGGTAAACCCTGAACATTGATATTACTGATGTCTGACAATAGACTCTTCCTACTTGCCTAACCCTCCTAACCTCACGCTCCCAGCCCCACCCTCCTAACTCCATCCTCCTAGCCTCACTCTCCTAGCCCCATCCTCATAGCCCCACCCTCTTAGTCTCACTCTCATAACCCCACCCTCCTAGCACCATCCTCCTAGCACTACCCTCCAAACCTCGCTCTCCTAGCCCCACCCTCCTAGCCCCACCCTCCTAGCCCTACTCTCATAGCCCCCACCCTCCCAGCCCCACCCTCCTAATCTCACCTTCACAGCCCCACCCTCCTAGCAACACCCTCCTAGCCTCACCCTCCTAACCCCACTCTCCCAGACCCACCTCCTAACCTCCTCCTCACCCTCACAACCCCACCCTCCTAACCCCACCCCTTTACTTCCAGATTTGTCTGGCATGATGTCGAGGGCACCAACGAATGGTTGGTTGCCAGTAGTGAGGTCAGCGAGGGCAGTCACGTGATCAGGACTGACCGGCACCAGACCTTCGGCTGCTACCTGTACGGAGTGGCTACCTCTTTTGGCTACATGCACAGTGCTGGACACAAGATCGCCTCCATCAGCGAGGTATGTTCTTAGTTCGTTTTAATTTTTTAATTGTTATCTCTCTTTGGTCATGTAATTTCCTCACATAATGCTTGTGCTTCTTAAATGGCGGTGTGTGTGTGGGTGGGGGGGGGGGGGGGGGGGGGGGGCGGGGGATCAATGTGTGGAATATTAATTTCCTTACTAATATGTCTGTGGAGTGTGGGTGAATAGGCTGGATTGTTGGATGGATGAGTAGGCTGGATTATTGGATGGATGAGTAGGCTGGATTGTTGGATGGATGAGTAGGCTGAATTGTTGGATGGATGAGTAGGCTGGATTGTTTGGATGGATGAGTAGGCTGGATTGTTGGATGGATGAGTAGGCTGAATTGTTGGATGGATGAGTAGGCTGGATTGTTGGATGGATGAGTAGGCTGGATTGTTGGATGGATGAGTAGGCTGGATTGTTGGATGGATGAGTAGGCTGGATTGTTGGATGGATGAGTAGGCTGGATTGTTGGATAGATTATGTGCGTTTCTTTTTTCATTTGCTACTAAAAAATTTGTACGAGATTACTTGAGCGAAAAAGTTTGTTTTTGTATTTCTATATTCTACGTATTTCATTATCATCTTTTCCCGTTGGTGTTCAAGGCACATGGGCAGATGAAATAGAGTTCATCTGTTTCAATAACCAAGGCCTACGTGGGGGTGATTTGTTCCCATTACATAAGTCAGGTGCCCATCAGAACTGGGTGGACGTCAAACTGACTCCAGTCTGGGATCCGAACTCGAGACTTTCAAGTTAGCAGCCGTAAGCTCTACCACCCGACCGTTGTTGTAAGGGGTTTTATGTTTCTGAATACTCCTCTCAATCCTTGTTTCAGCCTTGCTTTAAAACCCCAATGGTGATGGGTGATGGTAAAGACAACGATTGTGATGGTAGAATCGATGAAGAAATACTGAATGAAATCGGTACGTTTGACACACATTCAAATGTTGTATTGGAGTTAATGGGTAATATACTGGGCACGCCTTTTAAAGAACTTGTCACTAAAATAGGATTACTGTCACTAAAATAGGATTACTGTCACTAAAATAGGATTTCTGTCACTAAAAGAGATGACTTGTGACTGACTTTGTCACAAAAAAAGTAAAGTTATGATTAAAATGGGCTACTTGTCACTATAAAAGGGCACTTGACAATGTAAAGAAGACACTTGTCACTAAAAAACAAACGCACTTGTCAGTGACACAGACGTATGGATATGTCATAAACAATGCCGAGACATGAAATAACAAAAAAAACCAGCAAAAGTTGATGTAATTAATTAAGTGAATGGATCGATAAATAATTAGCTTTAATAAAGATGTTGACTGAAAGTATCCATTTTACAGATGATGATTTAGATACTCAGTTCAACGAGGACGTGGAACCTAACTACCCAAGTACGCATATGTGTGTATAACTAAGTGTACAAATATTGTGTACATAACTGTAAGCTAATATGTATTAATAAGTGTTAAAATAATGTATCAATAGGTGTAAGACTACATTTATAAATAAGTGTAAGCGTATGTTTACATATAAATAGTGTAATCATAATTGTACAAGTGTGAACATAGATAAATGTATCCAGTTTTGTACCAGAAAAATTTGTCCCAAATTTTGCCTGAATAAACTTTGCATTTGTCCCATGTTTGGATTTCTTTGAGAAAAGATATCCCATTCTTTGTCTAAGTGTTCCTAGAACACCATAGTTGATCTCAGCTTCAATTAAAAACAACTTACTAAGACTTGTTTTCTGTTAAAAAATGATACTGTATTTTACTCTCAGTTGATGGTCAATGGGGTATTTGGAAAGAATGGGACTGTTCACCTTTGTGCAATGATTCGCGCTTATCTCGCTATAGGTAAGTACAGAACCACGGTCACACCACGTATCCTCTCCAAACATCTTAAATTACACCCTAAACAAAAGCTTTATATTTTGCCCTTTTCGATCTTACCTCTGAAATTTTTCATAAACAAATATATCACAGTTAAAGAGGCCAATATTCAAGCCTATTACCTTGATAAATTATTGATTTAAACTGACCACAAGTTTTTACTGACAACTTAGTCTATATTTAGAGTCTGCGATGAACCTAGGCCGGCTTACGGAGGACGCCTATGCGACGGTACTGCGAAAGAGTTTAAAAATGGGACTTGCCGGAGGAAGATCTGTCCTGAAGGTTAACCACATCACCCATCCCTCCGTTCATCCACCTATCTATCCATCAATTCATTATTTCATCTACGCACCCTTTCACTCACTCAACAAGCTACCAAACCAACAACCCTCCCATTCTCCTACCAATCCAACAAGCTATCCACACACCCATCCGCTTACCCACTCACACACCTACCAACTTACCCACCCACCCATCTACTCACCCACACACCTACCTACTCACCCACCCACATATTCACCCACACACCCACCTACTTACTCACCTACCCACCCACCTACCTACTCACCTACCCACCCACACACCTACCTACTCACCCACCCACCCAAACCCACCTACCTACTCACCCACTCACCCACCCACCTACCTACTCACCCACCCACCCACCCATCCATCCACCTACCCACCTACTCACCCACCCACCCACCCACCCAAACCCACCCACTCACCCACCCCCACACTCACCCACCCCCACACTTACCCACCCATTCACCCAAACCCACACACCCCCTACTCACCCACCTACTCTCCCACCCACCCACACACAAACTCACCCACCCACCCACCTACTCACCCATCCAACCACCCACTCACCCACCCACTCACCCACCTCTAGAATGCCCAGCCTGGAGTTGGGGCGTGGATTGCCTACACACGTGCCAGAACTGTCAGAGTGAGTGTAACAAAACTTTGGGGAGCTGTGAGGTGTGTCATGCCGGCTACAAGGACCCCAAGAATGGATGTAAACGTGGTAAGCTAACACAACTACCTGTCTCACCTGTCTCAGGTAAACTTAAATGCATAATGAAGTTTTGATTTGTTAACCACGACACTCGGCCTTCCCAAATACATCAAGAATTATGGGGTCAAATGTCAAGGCCACTGTTATTCCCCGGGTAGTTACTACACAACCCCTCTAAATACCTTGACATTGAACACACAACCCCTCTAAATACCTTGACATTGAACACACAACCCCTCTAAATACCTTGACATTGAACACACAACCCCTCTAAATACCTTGACATTGAACACACAACCCCTCTAAATACCTTGACATTGAACACACAACCCCTCTAAATACCTTGACATTGAACACACAACCCCTCTAAATACCTTGACATTGAATACACAACCCCTCTAAATACCTTGACATTGAACACACAATCCCTCTAAATACCTTGACACTGAACACACTCTTAATACCTTGACATTGAACACACAACCCCTCTAAATACCTTGACATTGAACACACAACCCCTCTAAATACCTTGACATTGAACACACAACCCCTCTAAATACCTTGACATTGAACACACAACCCCTCTAAATACCTTGACATTGAACACACAACCCATCTAAATACCTTGACATTGAACACACAAACCCTCTAAATACCTTGACATTGAACAAACATATGTTCTAGTCAGATAAAACTAGTTTAACCTTGTAAAGGACCATTAGGTCTATAAATGTACATAACTAATGCATCACCGAATTCAAACTTAATTTTTTAATTGTCTTAATTTTGTTCCAGAATGTTCAATTTATCAGTACGGGATAAACTGCGCCTTTAGTTGTATTGAGAAATGTAATGCTGACTGTAGTGATAAAATCACCGGTGCGTGCAAAGGTAACAGTCTGCTATTAAAAACCTCACTAATTATTCACGGTGGTCTCAGTGTATGCATTCCTTGAATACCCTACAAACTATAAGATGTCCATAATAGCTGTCTCACACGGAGGGGGGGGAAGAGATATTTGTGACGATGTTATTTTAAACAGTTATTATGTTTCAAAGGCTAAAACCATGTTCGTTGGCAGCCAGATTGGAAAAACGATTGTTTTTTTTTTAGATCTTTTTGTAAAGGACAATGGCTCAGTCAACGTTTTAGGCAGATCTGTAGAGAAAAGAATTGTGATTAGGTAGTGTTAAGGGTAGATGCGGGACGTCGGATTAAGTATAATAATAACTGTTTGTTACGGTAGGGGAGGGGTGGGAAACTGACGGGGAAAAACTCAATGTTATTTATAGATGACTGTGATTCCTTTTGTGAACTAAATCTCTCTCCCGTCACGTTTTAAATGATTGTAAAACATTATCGTTTAAAAATAAACTTATTTATTTGTTTATATACTGTTTTTGTTTTCTTTTCCAGCTCAAAAATTAACGTTCATACCACATCTGATTGTTTTATTATCGGTCCCACTAATTATATTTATTTACAAAGTGTAAGTACGTCTATACCCCGGTACTGTATTTTAAAGAAATCAAATTCAAATGTACGTGCGCGAGGGAGACAGACCATTCTTAGGATCTGACAAAACAATCGGCTGCAAATAGTGACACAAATTAAAGTGCAGAGAATTAGAAACTTTTTTTCTAGACTCTATGAGAATTCCATCCAATGAAATGGATATATCTTTATTAGTGGCGTAAGCTGGGTGGGTGGGTGGGAGGAGGAGTTTAGAGAATGGGTTAAGATCATCCATCCCCCCTCCCAGACATATACACCATAGACCCTTTAGTTGTCTTACATACAGCTATTAGCGACGGAGCTCTGGTATTTGTCATAACAGCAACCAATATATACGTTCTCGATTGTATATATATATATATATATATATATATATATATATATATATATATATATATATATATATATATATATATATATATATATATATATATATATATATGCCCTATATTTATTTATTTAAGACGTATTGTCGTCGTTTCCACTTTACTTTTCACTTATTAAACTATCGTATAGAACTATAAATTGATGCTCATTTGCTAACAAAACTAAGATACCTCAACATCAGCTACTGAAATAACGAATACTTATCTTTAACAGGTTATCACGGCGAAAGGAGCTGGCTGATGAAGAAGATTATTTTGCTGTGTACTGAAAACTATTTATGATTAAGATTGACTGGGCAGTGAAGCTGAATTCTGAGAATATAAATTATGTAGAGTCGCTTGTATTGTTTTAATCATTACTTTTATGCTTGTTACTTTAATGTTGTGAAGAATAAAATTGATATGTTATAAAAGGCGCGGGTTTGTCTAATTTAACTGTATGTCGTGGTATCACCACGGGATTTATGGCCGTACATTAGGAAAACAGTGTCCTGCTCAGGGACATAGCCAAGTTTTAAATGTCGGGAAGCTGCATTTGCACTAAAAGGCATACGTCTATCTAACTGAAAATAAATGTCCAACAGAAAAATATCTAGAGAATTTAGAATGATTTAAAAAAATAATTGCGCCGTTTTTTTTTCATATTATATATATATATTTTTAAATTTGCAGCATAGTCGATTTCTTGTTTTAAAATAATGAATATCAGATCTAAGAAAAACATTTACAATTATTATACTGCCATAATCTCGAGTTATCAACCACACGTACCCCCCCCCCCCCCCCTTACTGAACGAAATGGAATTTATATAGAAAATATATACTTTTGACAGTCTAGAATAACACTGCACGGGGAAAAGCGCAACGAAAAAATGCGGACAAAAAAAGCGCAACGGAAAAATGCGCAAACAGAAATTTACGCTCGCAGTAATATCCGAGCACAGAAAACTGCGCACGTATTTCTGTGTGCAAATGTTTTGGTTTGCTCGATATTTTGCGTGCGTTAATTTCTATTTGCGCTTTTTTCTCTCCGTTCTCTTTTCCGTTGCGCATTTTTCTGTTGCGCTATTTTTCTGCTGCGCATTTTTGGGAACCTTTTCGGTCCTCCCCTCCGTCGGAACGCCCCCCCCCCCCCCCCATGACGCTATTGATCACTTCACAACCAGAGGCGATTTAGCAAAGAGAAGATAATATTAGCTGTTGATCTCATAATAATTTTTAAAGTTAAAGTATTTATTTTCAATTCAATTAAAATATGATGACTTGATTGAACTATGCTGATTGTGTGACTTATTGTGCCATGGCTTGTGTCAACTTCGCCTATTACGCGACAAAAGAAAATAAAACAAACATTTACGCTTTAGAAAAAAAAATTGGGCACTGAAATTGTGTAACAGCTTTTTTTTTTTTTTTTTTTTTTTTTTTAAATAAAAAAAATAAAGCGAGTTTTTATTTTTTTGAATTTTCTTATTGTCGCCGCATATAGATCTAGATCTAAAAGCTTCGTAAATGCCTTTTATGTTTGTTTTATTTTTTCCATTGTTTTCGTTACTGTTAGTGTTTACTTTGTTAGGACAGTTGAATGAACTTAAGTTTCTAAGTCAATGACTTCTGATGAAATCCTAACACTTCTCATTAAGTCAAGAGATCGAAAGTCAAGCATAGTAGGCCTATTCACCTCAACTGTTTACGTTTGCCCAGAAATTGGGTCAGACGCCCATTCGCATTTGATTGGACAAAACAAGCACACCTCCAGCTATATGTCCTTGACTGACTAAAAACAGCGCCAGCTGGAGACTGAGAAAATAAATAACAGCGTTGCATATTTTGTAGTTTAAAGAGAATTCGTTGTTGCCAAACGAGATTAGGAATAGATCTTCATAACTTTTCTCTTGTACATTCGACTTATATCAAAATAAGTGTAACTTTATAGATTTAAGGTAAGTTTAAGTTCGGTAATGTTTTCTTGATTTTCCTGCCTAAGATTCAAGATCTGTTGTAAACTAGAGACTGAGAGACTCTGTTATCGAAAACAACGGATGTTTGACACACATTGTGTGTGAGTGTCAGTGTGTACTTTTGCGTTGCCCGACACGAGTAAAGACCAAACAAGAAATTGAGCTAGATCTAGATTCTAAATCTAAGAGCGAAATCTAGTTTAGATCGAAGTCCAAACAACGTACTAGTCTAGAGTAGATTCTTAGTTTAGGTAGACTATATTCACACATATTGATTGTGAGCCACTTTTTAAAGTTTTTTTCTTGAGCCTGTTGACTGTTGGCTATCTCTAGAACCCAGGGGCTAAGGGAAGATAACTTTCAGTAAAAATCTGTCCAGAATTTCTGTCTTTAGTCTATATCTAGATATTGTTTCCCGTCATCTAGATCTATTAATGATTAATGTATTATTAATCGAAAATAACTTAAGTCCTATGAATGATATTTTATGAACTGATATAGGCCTAATTCTATTGAATTGTGATTGATTGATTAGTTAAAAGAATCACTTGCGATTCTCATTTAATAATAATTTAACTTGGTCATAGTCATTGTGAATTAGGCCTATTTGTCAAAAAATTAATTTTTATGATTTTTTTAAGATCTAGACCAAGATCATGCATTTTGTTCTATTCCTATAATTAATAAATTATATACTAATATATACTATAACTATAGGCCTATACTCCCTATAGTCCTATAGCTAGTATAGGTCTTAATAGTTAATTACCAACAATTAGGCCTACAGTTAGTCATAGCAAAAATTTGCTTTTATGAAAAAATATCATAGCAGCAATTTTAAAAAGAAAATGCAATTAGTTTTGTAAAATTTTTACAAAGAATTAGATCTACATATGTTTTATAATTTTTCATTAAACTTCAAAAACAAAACAAATATCAGTAGGCCTAAGTCCCTCTAATTATTTTTTAAACTTTTTCAATTTTGAACTCATACCCCCCCCCCCCCCCCCCCTCCTCCACAACCTATATTGAGCTTAAATAGATCTAGGTCCTACTTATTATTATATTGGATTTTTTTTTTCACTTTTTAATTAAGCTAGAAAGAATTTGGTATCAGTTAAAAGCAGGCTTTCTCTTCTAGCTAACTAATAGTAATATATGCTTTCAGGATAAAATACTCAAAAATAATGTTTTTATGTTGCTACACATACACGCAGGAGCTTCCCGTCCAATATGTGATATCATCCCAATATTTGGAAATTCATTAACTACAAAAAAAAAACAATCTCTCCAGGAGGTCTGTTATGCACATAGATAAATTCAGGACACTGTTTACCAGAACACAAAAAAGATATTGTTAAGATTTTTAATGAGCGCACCATATTAGAGCATTTGCAAGGCATAGCTCACAATTTGTCTTAATATATTAATTAAAACTAGGCCTATAACTTCAGAATAAAATACTTTTTTTTCTTACATTTGTATTCTTTTGTTATGATTTTTGTTTTCATCAATATTAGCATTTTCTTACATGATCCGTGAGGAGGTGTTATTGTCCTGTAGTATATATCGGGGGAGGGGGGGGGGGTGTGATGTCTTGGCAGTTTTTATGGACCTCCACCTCATTTATAAATGCTGATTTCTCCACTCCATTCACCAAGCATTCAAACCCAGCCTCTCCTATATATATATTGCAATTTTAATTGTTTTTACAGCTATATCTTTCTTTCCAAGATAAACATTGATCAATTTTTGTAGCACTTAAAAAAGGATATCTTCTTACTACATCTTCTATCCCCTATGTCATACAAAAAACAAAATTCCAAATGCGCTATACCTCTCTCCCCTGAGAGTGACCTTATGTTTAAGTATATGTATTGGTATTTCAGATCTGATTTCACAGATTCAAAGTTTGGCTAATAATTATTTAGAAGAAAATGTTCTTAATTATAAGCCAGTTTATGTTGTTAAGCTTTCAGAATTGTTATCTTCATTTCTCATGACTAAAACTAATAGTTAATTAATTCAATTATAAATATATTTTATACTGAAGTTTCAGATTCCATTTTCAAAATGAATGGCAGTGATTGTGACGAAATGGAAGAGCCTACAACCAACCACGTAGGAAATGGTTATGCTAATGGAGAGGACAGCGACACTATAGAGTTTACAGATGAGGAAGTGTTGGATCCCTTCTGCAATCCTGACCGTCCTGTGGAGGTGAACTTTAATGACGTCAGTGCTGCTGCCTACAAGATCAAAGGGGGCATTGAGAGAACACCTTGTAATGTGAGCATTCTGTTCAAAGCATTTTAAAAATTTAAATTTAATTAAAATGTTTTCAAAAAATTAAATTGTTTGTCACAGTTCAAAACCAATGGTTAATATATTTTTTGTTGATAAATGGTGTAGCCCAGTTGTAAAGAATCTAACCAGATAAATGATTACTAAATTCTGTTTTTTGTCATTAGCTTCAGGGTTTAATTAACTATCATGAATAATAATTAAAATGAGCCTATTATGAAATGGCAGACTGTAGTTATATTGATCAATGTTTCACATCTAGTTGATTAAAATCAAATAGCTTACACACATTAGCTAAAGGTTGTATTACTATTCATTAAAATTAAGCTTAATTTTACTATTATTCCTGCATAAAAGTTACTAAACCATCTAGCTATTTCCCCTATTCTTGTTACGATTAGTATTCTTTTAATTAATTAATTAAAGACTAATTTTGCTAAACCGAAAAGCCACGAGTTCGAACCCTCGGGCAGATGAGGCTCGTTAGCTGGGGACAGCCACTCTTCTAGGAGAGACAACTCCAAAATTAAACAACTGCTGCCTTGTAGTTTGTTCTTGGTTGGACAAAGGCTATGGAAGCAAATCCAAAAAGAAAAGCAGGCTGAAATCGGAGTCAATGGCCTCAATGGCGCATAACCAGTTGACACGTAACGCTTAATTGTGTTGGAGGCGTGGTCGAGTCGGCAAAAAGCTCATGGTTGATAAATTCGAACAAAGTCTCGAGTTCAAACCCACTGGCAGATAAATCTCGATCCCCTTCAACACAAATAATTAAGAGCGAAGAAGAAGAAGAAAGACTAATTAACTTATATAAATAAATTTAAAAATTTAATTTTGCTTACATACACTTGCATGCACAGTTTGAAAGAAATTGTGCTAGTAAAGAATGGACCACAAACACACAGACTACCAAATAAAAGTGATGAATAAAAGCAAACGAAGAGACAACTCCATGTTACATTAATAGTTTCTATTTGCTATATTACTTTCATACACACAATAACTTTTTAACTCATGCATGATTGACCAGTGTTAATGATTTTCTATTGTCTTATTGTTATAGTTATCTCAGATGTCAAAGCAGTATGATATGAAGCTCTACTTCAAGAAAGATTTTCTGCAATACACTGGCAGGTGAGTTAAGGCAACATTTACGGACTGGCTTTAGAGGTGGGTCAAGGCAACATTTATGTACAGGCTTTAGAGGTGGGTAAAGGCAACATTTTTATGTACAGGCTTTAGAGATGGGTAAAGGAAAAATTTACGTACAGGCTTTAGAGGTGGGTCAAGGCAACATTTATGTACAGGCTTTAGAGGTGGGTCAAGGCAACATTTATGTACAGGCTTTAGAGGTGGGTCAAGGCAACATTTATGTACAGGCTCTTACAGGTGGGTAAAGGCAACATTTATGTACAGGCTTTAGAGGTGGGTCAAGGCAACATTTATGTACAGGCTTTAGAGGTGGGTCAAGGCAACATTTATGTACAGACTTTAGAGGTGGGTAAAGGCAACATTTATGTACAGGCTTTAGAGGTGGGTCAAGGCAACATTTATGTACAGGCTTTAGAGGTGGGTAAAGGCAACATTTATGTACAGGCTCTTTTAGAGGTGGGTAAAGGCAATATTTATGTACAGGCTTTAGAGGTGGGTCAAGGCAACATTTATGTACAGGCTTTAGAGGTGGGTAAAGGCAATATTTATGTACAGGCTTTAGAGGTGGGTCAAGTCACTGGTAGATCCTAATTGTTGGTCAGTCAGGTGGGTCTAGGCAGAGTGTATCTACACAATCTAAAGTTGACAATCCTCTCAGTTAAGTTCAAGGGTCACTTGCTTTAATACCCACTTTACAAATGTGAGTATGTCCAATAGTTACTAATGATTACAATTTGAAATAATTTTTGCAAAAATTTAGGCTGGATTCCATTAAGTTTTGCTGGCACATAAATAAATTATTATATTTATTTACCAGCTGTCAGCTGTTTTAGAGAAGTCAATTTATTTTTCTGCTTGTCTTGACATTTAGTTCAGTTATTTTGTGAACATTATTAAAATTGTATTGATCTTTGTATGGACTTTAAATTTTATAATTAGTACACTCTAATAGTATGTTAATAGTGGATCATGTTACTTGTATATAATTAAATCCTTAACAAAATGTAGCCAAGTTTCATAAAAAACTGTATTTAGTCTAGATTGATCACATCTGTCACCATTAACTGTTGACACTGTTTTGATTTGGTCAACTTTTTGACACCTTTTAATGAAGAGGAGTGATCTCCCTTGAATATTATTGTAAATCTTATATATCATTAAGGGGGAGGGCATGTGACTTTCAGTGCAATCAGGCTTTAGAAATGTTTTTTTATTAATCTTTTTAAAACTAAATTTTTTAAATAGAATAGAATCAGGTAGAAAAAAATATTTGCACACCAAATGAACATAAATAATGTATGCATAATTGACTTGAAAATTAATGCTTAATAGAGGAAACTTTGATTAATTTTTACAAAGTTCAACACCTAATTAAATAACATTTTTGTCACAATGCTTTGTCATTTAATCTTGAGCTATGTCAAAAGTTTGAAACAATATTCACTGTTACTGATTGAAAATATTAATAATCAATACATCTATAACTAAATTTCCTTAGTGTTGAAGTGAGCCTTAATGAAAAGTGAACCAGTTTTTGACATGGGATACTGAGTATTATGTTATAACTACTTGACTGATTCCTTCTTGAACTTTTGCTTTCAGTTTTAAAGAGCGTGGTGCCAGGTACACACTTCTTCAACTAAGTCAGGTAAGTAAACATTAACAGAGACTGCTTGACGCTCTATTGATTCAATTAACCAGCTAAGATGTAATTAATACTTTGAAGTGCTGACATTAACCTTATTTGATTCTAATTAAAAGCCTATTTGTATTTTGAATTTTTTTTTAAATTATAAAATTAATGATTACCACACAGAAAATATTTTTTGTAGCTGTGTCCAAAAATAAAACATTCACATACTGCTGTTAAAATTTTACCTTACTTTTTACAGCTTGATGTTAAAAATAATGTTCTTTTAACAATGGTACTTTCACTAAGTAGGTTACATTATTTAATCAATAAATTAAATTGTTCTGACTAATTTATACAAATTTTAATTCATTTTAAAGGTCAAATTATTTAGTAGGGTTGGTTTCAGTGCTATTTTTAGAATTATTATATGATCCAACCTAAGTTTAGTTACCTTTTGCATCTGTACAGATTAGTATCTACATAAAACATTTTTTGTTTTGTTTTGTAAGCCTCCATCAATGCTTGAATGAATGCAACTTTTTATAACTGAATCTAAATAACACCACATAGTTTAGGACCATCATCCGTGTGTTAATTATTTTACTATTTGTTTTTGTTTTGTTGTTTGTTACAAAAAAATGGGTTTAATGGGTAAGTTCAGACTAATAAAAAATACACATTCTGCTACTATATAGAATGACTCTTGGGACAAGCAAAGTAACATTAAAGACTAGTTAATTTTCAGGGTTTAGTATGAAATGTAGCATACCTGACCAAATGGAGGACAGGGGTGGGCATTATATTGATCAAATTCATTGTAGGATGGTTATTAAATTGTTTGAATAATTTCCATTTAGGGAGGGCGTTAAATTTATTAAACAATTTCAGTGTTTGGTGGGCATTCTGTTAATAATAATTTATATTATTACAACTTTTAATTTTTTTTTTTTATCTTTTAAGAATACCAACGTAATTTCTTGTTTCTCATAGACAAATTCAAACCTTGGGCCACAATGGCTGCCAGGGCACTTTACTTCTTCATTAAAGATTTTATTTAAAAATCACAAATTAGTTTTAAAAATGTGTGTATTCATGTTTTGTTTTTTATTTAAGAGACTACATATTTATTCTTTTTTTTATCTGTGGCTGTATCCTAACTCAGTTCACTAAACATAGAGGTGTAGCCACTCTATGAACTGACTATTCCAGGCGTCGCCAGTAAACATTAAGCGTAGCCACTGTAGCCACTAAACATTTAAGTGTAGCCACTAAACATTAGAGTGTAGCCACTAAATATTCAACTACAGCCACTCATTGTTTATGTGTAGCCACTGTATTGCCTCAACACTTAAGTATAGCCACTAAACATTCCAGGAGCAGGCCAGGAAAGGTGTGGTAGCCGCCAGTGCAGGGAACCACGCCCTAGCCCTCTCCTACCATGGCCAGCTGCTTCACATCCCAGTCACTGTGGTCATGCCCATTGTTGCCCCCATGATGAAGGTGGAGGCCTGTCGACAGTATGGAGCTAATGTTGTCATTTACGGAAAAGATTTCGGAGAGGTATTGTGCTTTTGATACGTTTGTTTTCATTTTACATTAATTGTGTGGGGAAAAAGCACTGATTTTCCATGCTTTTTACATTTTTTAAATCTGGAAGGAACAAGACAACTGTCATCATTTTTAATTTTTTTAAAAGTATATTACTCTGTACATTAACAAATTGTGTTTGCCTTTTGTGTTGAATTTATATCTTCTCTGAAATTTTAAAAATGAAATCAAGTCAGCTATTAAATCTTTCTGTTTTCAGACTAAGCAGTATGCCATGCTACTCAGCAAAAAGAAAGATTTACTTTACATCAATGGGTGAGACCATTATTCTATTGCTACTGTGTAATGGTCTGATTGGAACCACTTTAAAAAAATTTCCTATACTCAACAAATGAGTAGTTGTGATCTTAAAAAAATGCTCATAATGTTGCTGTATTTGTGACAATCAATATTTTCTTGACGACTGCAATTTTTCTTGTAATGCTTAATTTTTTAAAAACAAAATATAGTGTAAATCACAGACATCCAAATTTTCTGTGACAAACATTGAGATAAAAACACTCATTTTCGTTATTTAACCCTTAAAGTGCGTGTCACGTGGCCTTACATGTTATAAGTTATGTAAGAGCAAAGCCACGATCGTGGCTTGGCGCGCTTTCAGGGTTAAAATTTTTGTTGTTGTTTTTCATGATAAAAAATAGCTTCAATCTTACTTTTTTGTTCAAGTTTTAATGATTTAAAAAAATTGAGCTTTTTATACTTTCCTGATATATTGAACAGCAGCAAATTTCAAATGTGCCTATCAAGCTGATGATTTTTATTTAATTAACCCTTTCCTTCCCATTTCTAGCTTTGATCATCCTCATATTTTGGCTGGACAGGGCACCATAGGCCTGGAGATCATTGAACAAGTTCCGCAAGTTGATGCCTGTATTATCCCCATTGGTGGTGGAGGACTTATAGCAGGTGCTGCAGTAGCTTTGAAGAATCTCAAACCCAGTATAAAAATAATTGTAAGTATTTCTGATTTCTCTAGTCACATATTTCTGATATAGTCCTACATTTCCACCAACTTTCCATCAATAAAAACTCTACCATTTTATAAATGTAACCTGTTTGTGGATATTAATCAAACAGTTGTGATTAATTTTCTCTTACAAACTAACATATTAATTAGTATGAATATTTCCACAAAACTAACTTTATTTACCATAGTTATTGTCAAAGTTTGTTAATTCCCTATTATTCGACATGTCTTAATAATTCAAAGTTTATATTAAGTCAGTTTTTATTCTCCTCCTATCTTTAAATATTTTTTAATGATTATAATTTTTGATGCAACTAATTTAATTAGGGTGTGGAGTCTGAGAGGTCAACAGGATTTCAAGCCGCCATGGCAGCAGGGAAGCCTGTTTACAGTCACGTCGGCCAATCTCTAGCAGACGGTTAGATTTTTTATTTATCTCTTTCCTTTAGAAAATTTTAGCATTTTATATTATTACAACTTTTAATTTATCGTTTATTTTATTTTAAAAAAATACTAACATAATTTCTTGTTTAAAGTTAGATTTCTAGGTAAAAACACTACAATACTTGTTTGGTGAGGTTTTAATTGTTATCTCCCCTGGTCATCTCTTTCCTTAGTAAAAATCCAGCAATTTTACATTAGTAGGCCTACTACTTTTATTTCTTTACCAATTTGCCTTTTTTATTTGATAAATTCCAACGTAGTTTTTTGTTTAAAGTTAGATCTCTAGTTGAAACACCATAACACTTATTTGGTGATGTTTGTATTCATAGAAGAAATAAAAAAATGTTAAATGATTTTTAAGTTTAACTGTTTTTAACATGTAACTAATTTCACAGTTAAACTGATTTCAGCGTGAAACATACATCTTAAAGTTTAAATTTTGTATTAATTCTAGAATTTTCCCCCATATTCAGGTTTGGCAGTCCCAGTTGTAGGTGTCAATGCTCTAGCCACAGCCAGAAAATTGATTGATAGAATCGTCACTGTCACGTGAGTGATCTAATGTCTGCTCCAGTTTGTGAACTTTTAGATCAAACAACTGCTGCCTCGTAGTTTGTTCTTGGTTGGACAAAGGCTATGGAAGCAAATCCTAAAAGAAAAGCAGGCTGAAATCAGAGTCAACTGCCTATTTGGCGCATAACAAGTTAACATGTAATACTTAATTGTGTTGGAGGAAATCCCTTCCAATATTAAAAATTAAGAACGAAGAAGATCAGTTTAATTGCTTAACAGTGATTTGTGTCTTTGCATTATTTTTAAGGAAGCACCATTTATCTCATTGTTAAAAATTCTTTTTACTCAAAATGTTAATACATAAAATTAAAAAAAAACCTGACATTGCAATTTTTATTTAAAAAAATATTTTGATGAATTTGTAATCTGTCTGAAAAATATCTTAAAACATTTTATTTTTTGTAAGCAACATGGCTATGCACCCTATTTACATTAACATTTAAAAAATATTTTATTGATAGTTGAATTTCTACTTGTGCTCTCATTTTCACCAGAGAAATAGTCAGATTATTCTTATCTGATGTTGCCCCAAGAAGCTGAACCTTAGACTATTGAGTTAGCATTTGTGTGCCTATCACTTGACCATGCAGTCTCATTCAGTTTTTGTACTCAATACCAAAAATAAAAGAGGCCAGAGTATTTTGATACTCTGTTTTTCAAAGCAGTCATTTTTCTTAATGCTGGTTAAGGCCAAATTAAAAGTTAATTTTTCTTCTTCGTTCTTATTTATAGTATAGGAGATTTTCTCCAACACAATAAATTATTATGTGTCAAAGGGCTGATGACCCCAACTTCAGCTTGCTTTTCTCTCATGATTTGCTGTCATAGCCTTTGTTCAGGGAACAACAATCTTTGAATAATATCAAAGCTTTCAGAATCAGGCCAAATCTTGCCCACCAGTAACTTATTTATTACAACAGACAACATAACCTGTGCCATGACATGTTCAGTGTTTAGATTTAAATTGAAACAGATCTTGCTGTAGTTTAATTACAAGTCAAGTATTGCCACATAAACTAATGCAGGTAAATTTGGTTACAGAAAGTCAAGTATGGCGACATAAATTAATGCAGGTAACTTTGATTACAGAGAGTCAAGTATTGCCCTGGCCATCTTGAGACTTATAGAACAGGAGAAAGCTGTAGTTGAAGGTGCTGGTGCTGCCGGTCTCGCAGCCATCATACAGGGTCTGGTCCCTGAGCTAAAGGGGAAAACGTGAGTCTGGTTCTTAGCTCTGAGCTTAAGGTGAAAACATGAGAACATTTCTATCATACAGGGTCTGGTCCCTGAGCTCAAGGGGAAAACGTGAGTCTGGTTCTTAGCTCTGAGCTAAAGGGGAAAACGTGAGTTAACATTTCCATCATACAGGGTCTGGTTCCTGAGCTAAAGGGGAAAACGTGAGTCTGGTTCTTAGCTCTGAGCTAAAGGGGAAAACGTGAGTTAACATTTCCATCATACAGGGTCTGGTCTCTGAGCTTAAAGGGAAAACAGTCACAAATTGTCATACTTATATGACAATTGGCACATACTGCCTGGCTTTTACTGTCTTTGCTACAGTTATATGGATATCCTAGCTAAATGTAATTGTTAGAAGCTCGTTACTAAAACAAACCCTTTCATTTGAGATTCCACTTATTTGGTCCAGTCATTTGCATGTAATTTCTACCAGTATGTGTACTAATGTATCCGTATGTATACATTTGTAGTTTAGATTTGTTATCATAATATTTGGACGATATATTTGTTTTATTTAGTTTAAACGCTCTTTATAAAAGATTAAACAACAATTTATGGTAGATAAAACCCACATCTTTAGTTTAAACCATGTACATAATTTTTAAATTTGACATCTTTGTCCGAGTTCCTTAATTTTGGTACAATGCCCCCCATCCAGATGTGTTCTACCAAACCAAATTGCCTATCTATGTTTGTGTGCAAATGATTTAATATAACCTCTGACTAAAGTCATTGTTTACTGTGTATAAAATTGAGTTTTCTCATTTCCTTGAGATTTTTTTAAAAATAATATATTAATACAACTAATTTGATTTATCTAATTTATAGATGTTTTCTGTAATTAGCATTCAACTAAATACAGATGGTTTCTGTAATTACCCCTACAATTCAATTAAATTTCAGTTCACATAGTTTTGTTTGGTCCATGTTTAGCTGAATTTTATTCTCAAAGAAAACAAGATAATTGAAACAGTCCTGATCTTGTTCATTTGTTGCTACTATTTAATTACTTCATCTTCTGGCACTGTACTATGCTGGACTGACCCTGCTAATTTCACACCTTCAGTGCCAGTATTTCCATTAGACAGCTTCACATTTAGACCTAGACTACAGAATTTAACATCAGGGGTTAAATTAAAAAATATTAACCTTAAAACTCCCCTGCAGAGTACAGTTAATGTTAAAATTAATTATAGTTTTTATTTACTGAATTAAAACAGTACTGGTCTGCCATTTCTATACAACTTGTCAGGAGAGTTGTCTTGTTTCCTTACAGTGTGGTTGTCACCCTTTGTGGAGGTAACATTGACACAACAGCTTTGGGCCGAGTGATTGAAAGGGGCTTGGCAGCTGAGGGCAGATTAATCAGATTTGGTGTGACAGTGTCTGACAGGCCAGGTGGCATCGCCGAGTTGACAAAGAAGATTGCAGACCTGGGAGTCAGGTAAACCTGGCCGCGTGTGATGGGGAAACTGACGGGTGGCTGGTAGTTTTAGGGGCTCTGTCTGGGGAATATTTGTATATTTTAAAATGTAGTTATGTTAGGGGGTCACACAGGAAATATATGTATATTTATTGATTTAAAGGGCTCTTACAGGGAAATATTTTGATATGTACTAATGTTAGGACCTCTTTCAGGGAAATATTTGTATTTTAGTGGCTCACACAGAATATTTGTATATTTATTGATGCAAGGGGTCACACAGGGAAATATTTTTACGTTTGATGATGTTATGGGCTCTTACTGGGAAATATTTGTACATTTACTGATGTAAGGTTTCTCACTGGGAAATATTTATATATTTGATAATATTTTTAAGAAAACATGTCTCACATTCTATAGAGCAGTGTTTGACTTTTTAAAGCTTATTTTGACAAAAGAGTTGTTCTATTAACTTTAAAAAATCTGAGATAAAATGGAGGGGGGTGTTGTGTTTGTGCAAATGTTAATTATGTTCCTTGCAATTTGATTAACAGAGGGGGTTTTAATGTTATATTAATACCTTGTAAATGGGTTCTTTAAATCAAAGATAAAAATGATAGTATTTAAGGCGGGGGCTTAAACGCCAGCTAATATTACAATAATACAAACAGTGTCGTCAGGCTGATTGTCACTAGAGCTGACACTAGACAAGAGACCCGGCATATTTGTAGGTCTCTGTCACACCTAGCAGTCCACAGGTAAATTTTCAAAAGTTGTTGCACAAAATCTTTCATTTTTAGTGCACTGAACTGTTGCTATTTCTGTTATTTATGCATTGTTTTAATGGGTGAAACATCATGATAGAATGAGTTTTGGAACAATATACATATAAAAATATAACAGACTGTATATCCAAATAAATCTAGAAAATGCAATTAAAAATAAATAAATTAGAAAGTTGAATAGAACAAACTAGACACCCAAGTAAAATGATACGAAACCCATAGTACATGAACTATGTATATAATTCTCTTCATGGAGACCATAGAAAACACCAAGCTGTAAGCGCGCCTAGCAGCCCCCTTTCTTCCTCTCTACCACCCCATGAGCTGTGGTTCATGCTAAATGTTTACAATTGTAGAGCCGGGTTTAGTGATGGCTATTAGGGGTAGATAATTTAGATTGAAACTATTTTAAACTTAGGGGAGGTAACTAAGAGGAAGCTGCTTTTTAAGGGGGGGGGGGTGTAGGTTAGGGGTTGGGGGAAAGGAGGATGGGGGGGGGGGTTATCATCCTTAACGACTTACTGATAGTGTTTTAAAGCAAATATTTTCAGTGGCAGCATTGGTACTGTCGAATTAACAAATTATGAATTACTGAAAAGTAGAAAATAAAACAACTAAATAGCGGCATATTATACACCACGGGTTGCCTCGTATGTTTATATTTCTAGAAGAGTTTGTTGAACAAACGTGCATAAAAACAATTGTCCTTTGTTTTAACTAACTTGTGTTAGTCTAAGTTTATTGTGTTTAGTTATGTAAACCTTCACTCATTTCGTGATGTTGTTTCAGTATAAAAGATATTCTTCATGAGAGGGCCTGGTTGAAAACTGATGTCTTCTCAGTCATGGTAAGCAGTTTTTTTATAAATCATCTTGGTACAGCTAATTCATTTGGCCTGTATTTTAATCTTCTGTGGGCCTAAAATGTCAACATTTGCTCTCTTGAAGGTGCTGGAAGAATGTTAGCGATCAGTAACTGTCTATTGTTGCTGTATCTTTGTTAGAGAAATTGTGTTTGCATTTTGTCATCTTGTCATTGAGCTTGTGTGTAGAACAGATAAATCCAGTCAGCCTAGCACATGATGAGCTCAGCTGGGCTTGTTGTTATTGTGTTATTGATGGGGGGGGGGGAGGGGGGAATAAAAACTTTAACGACTCAAGGACCTCCAAAAAAAACACTTTCATATATAGTGGTTATGTTTTCAATACTTACCATTTCAAGATTTGGATCCACAAAGTCAAAATTTTATGTCTGGAAGTTTTGTACCCCATCACTCACACCCACTCCCCCGTGGTTGAGTTAATACAATCTAGCTGTATTGGCCAGCTGGCTGTATTGGCCAGATGAAGCTGCCTGTATTGGCCAGATGAAGCTGCCTGTATTGGCCAGATGAAGCTGCCTGTATTGGCCAGATGAAGCTGCCTGTATTGGCCAGATGAAGCTGCCTGTATTGGCCAGATGAAGCTGTCTGTATTGGCCAGATGAAGCTGCCTGTATTGGCCAGATGAAGCTGCCTGTATTGGCCAGATGAAGCTGCCTGTATTGGCCAGATGAAGCTGCCTGTATTGGCCAGATGAAGCTGCCTGTATTGGCCAGATGAAGCTGCCTGTATTGGCCAGATGAAGCTGCCTGTATTGGCCAGATGAAGCTGCCTGTATTGGCCAGATGAAGCTGCCTGTATTGGCCAGATGAAGCTGCCTGTATTGGCCAGATGAAGCTGCCTGTATTGGCCAGATGAAGCTGCCTGTATTGGCCAGATGAAGCTGCCTGTATTGGCCAGATGAAGCTGCTTGTATTGGCCAGCTGCCTGTATTGGCCAGATGAAGCTGGCTGTATTGGACAGATAAAGCTGCCTGTATTGGCCAGATGAAGCTGTCTGTATTGGCCAGATGCCTGTATTGGCCAGATGAAGCTGGCTGTATTGGCCAGATGAAGCTGCCTGTATTGGCCAGATGAAGCTGGCTCTATTGGACAGATAAAGCTGCCTGTATTGGCCAGATGAAGCTGCCTGTATTGGCCAGATGAAGCTGCCTGTATTGGCCAGATGAATTGGGTCGATAGTTTCTAATATAGATATAGCTGTATAAAGCATGAACTCAGCATCTTTAAATATCAGATGGAAACATTCATGCGACGTGTGCTTTGCTATTCACATATTTTCCAGGGCTAGATGTCAGATGCACTTAGCCAGAGGGAACAAAGGGTATGGAGGGTGGGGTGAGGCGTGTTGTGGAAACAGAGGGTTGTGGGGGGGAGGGGGGTAAATTTGAATAACAGATTACGGCAAGTACGCCTAATGGATTCTCATTTTTGGATATTGTTATTAAAGATTCATTTATGCAAATTCTATTTGTCGTCTGCTTCATTTGATTGTAGCAGAAGCTGATGAAATTACCAGCCCTAAGTACAGCGCCCCTCTACATGAGAAGATAACTCGAGCACATATTTTTATTTCCCTTTCTCTGTGTTTATTATTTGTCTTCCCAACGTTATTAAATTATTGCTTCGTTGATTACACGACAGCGCTAAACTAAAGGTTCGCGCAATTTTAACTTTGTTAGCTTTGCTGTAGTGATGGCCCTCGGTCTTGGTTTCTGTTATGTTACAACTGTCAGACAGTGTTTGACAATCCATCTTGTGGTTGTGTTTTGTAAAAACAAAATTACTTTAACAAACAGCTAGATCTAGATGTAGTTTGATTGCCAACTGTGATGTATCTTCGTTTAATCAATCTTTGTAACTAGTAATTCTATAGGACATGACCCATGTTTATAAAACTAATCAGACATGACTCTTTTCTATACCGACTGTAAAAAAGTATGAACTCACACTTTGATGGTTCCATTGAATCAACTAGACATGGATCTTTTCTATACCGACTGTAAACACTCCATAGAACACACTAGACATGGATCTTTTCTATACCGACTGTAAACATTCCATAGAACCCACTAGACATGGATCTTTTCTATACCGACTGTAAACATCACATAGAACCAACTAGACATGGATCTTTTCTATACCGACTGTAAACATTCCATAGAACCCACTAGACATGGATCTTTTCTATACCGACTGTAAACATTCCCTAGAACCAACTAGACATGGATCTTTTCTATACCGACTGTATACATTTCATAGAACCAACTAGACATGGATCTTTTCTATACCGACTGTAAACATCCCATAGAACCAACTAGACATGGATCTTTTCTATACCGACTGTAAACATTCCCTAGAACCAACTAGACATGGATCTTTTCTATACCGACTGTATACATTTCATAGAACCAACTAGACATGGATCTTTTCTATACCGACTGTATACATTTCATAGAACCAACTAGACATGGATCTTTTCTATACCGACTGTAAAAATTCCATTGAACCACGACTGTTATGAACTCACACTTTGACGGTTCAGCATTTGCGTCATTGCTTAAAATGTTCACTTAGTATGGGAGAATACAACCAGTTAAGCACCAGAGTGAACCGACAGGCCAACTCTTTGATCAAACCATTTAAGCACGACTTTAGTTTATTCAAGTGCACGCTATCGATTGGAGACTTGTAAGAAGTTAATCACAGAGAAAATGTAACTTTCATGAAGAAATAATTCACGTGGTATTCACACGAAACGTCCCTTTTATAACATTCAGATACTTGACGAATGCATGCGAAGAGCTTGAAGATTATCATCTGTACTGTAAATAGCTTTAAGCTTTTTTTCTTACTGGCTTTACGTGTGGCTGGTGAACCACTAGACAACCACATGTGGCTGAGACATGAGTTCTAGTGTGACTGAGACATGAGTTGTTGTGTGGTGAACTTGAGAACCACTAGACTACCACATGTGGCTGAGAAATGATTTCTAGTGTGGCTGAGACATGAGTTCTAGTGTGGCTAACATGAGAACCACTAGACTACCACATGTGGCTGAGACATGAGTTCTAGTGTGGCTAACATGAGAGCCACTAGACTACCACATATGGCTATGATTTCTAGTGTGGCTGAGACATGAGTTCTCGTGTGGCTAACATGAGAACTACTAGACCACCACATGTGGCTGAGACATGAGTTCTCGTGTGGCTAACATGAGAACTACTAGACCACCACATGTGGCTGAGACATGAGTTGTAGTGTGGCTAACATGAGAACCACTAGACCACCACATGTGGCTGAGACATGAGTTGTAGTGTGGCTAACATGAGAACCACTAGACTACCACATGTGGCTGAGACATGAGTTGTAGTGTGGCTAACATGAGAACCACTAGACCACCACATGTGGCTGAGACATGAGTTCTCGTGTGGCTAACATGAGAACCACTAGACCACCACATGTGGCTGAGACATGAGTTCTAGTGTGGCTCACTTGAACACCACTGTCTTGCTAAGTCTACCCTCGTACCCTCTAATATGTGTATGTGAACTTAAAAATGACAATTTTCAGATAGTAAACCATTTCTAATAACCTTTTTAAATTGTCCATGTGTTTTCTTCTGTGTACGATAATATTTAAAAGCGTTATGTGTATTTGGTGGTATTTTTAGGCTTGGCTGGTCTTTTAGGGATTTGTTGGTTTCAATGGAATGTGTAGGCTTTTTTTGGTCATATTATGCGTTGGTGGTCTCGATGCAATTTTCGGTCTGGATGGATTTTGCTGGTCCTATTAGAATTTTGTTTGTATTTTGGCATTTGTTGATACAGTTCTATGTGAGTTTTTGCCGTGTTTTTGTGTGAGTTTTTCGATATTCTGGGTAGGTTATGTTGGACTGACACATATCACATGTGGGTGGGAGGACATGTTGAGATCTAATTACAATCCAAATCGCCTGCATGCTTAACACTTGTTAGATTTAGCATATTGATTACCAGTTCTCTTTAACATGCAGTGCAGTATGAAATGGACTTGCTTTAGAATTCATTTGAAATATAAAACTATTTTATTGATCAAAATTTGCTAAGCTAGGAGAGGTTGATGTCATATCTCTTGAGTGTAGATTGAGTGCTTCGGAGTCAGGGCGACAGGAAAACCACAGGCGAGATATAAACTTGAAGTTGTTAGCAGCCTGACCTTTCTGCCAAGCCAACTAGACTTGTCTGCTTAGCCAGCTAGAATTCGCTGACCTTCCCGATAGAATTATCTGCCCTCCCAGCTAGACTTGTCTGCCCTACCAGCTAGAGCTCTGCCCTCACATCTAGAGCTCTGCCTTCTCAGCTAGATTAATCTGCCCTCCCAGCTAGATTAATCTGCCCTCCCAGCTAGACTTGTCTGCTCTCCCAGCTAGACTTGTCTGCTCTCCCAGCTAGACTTGTCTGCTCTCCCAGCTAGACTTGTCTGCCCTCCCAGCTAGACTTGTCTGCTCTCCCAGCTAGACTTGTCTGCTCTCCCAGCTAGACTTGTCTGCTCTCTCAGCTAGACTTGTCTGCCATCCCAGCTAGACTTGTCTTCCCTCCCAGCTAGACTTGTCTGCTCTCTCAGCTAGACTTGTCTGCCCAGCTAGACTTGTCTGCCCTCTCAGCTAGACTTGTCTGCCCAGCTAGACTTGTCTGCCCAGCTAGACTTGTCTGCTCTCCCAGCTAGACTTGTCTGCCCTCTCAGCTAGACTTGTCTGCTCTCCCAGCTAGACTTGTCTGCTCTCTCAGCTAGACTTGTCTGCCCAGCTAGACTTGTCTGCTCTCCCAGCTAGACTTGTCTGCTCTCTCAGCTAGACTTGTCTGCCCAGCTAGACTTGTCTGCTCTCCCAGCTAGACTTGTCTGCTCTCTCAGCTAGACTTGTCTGCCCAGCTAGACTTGTCTGCCCAGCTAGACTTGTCTGCTCTCCCAGCTAGACTTGTCTGCCCA